GCTTGCAAATACATTTTATTCTGCATTGAAATAATGAAAGCCAAGCTTTTTCAGCTTGAGGGTAAACCTTCTTTGGCTGGCAAATTACCTTTTCTCTTGGTTTTCAGCCAGAGATAGGAGAGAGAAATGCAGCCCAGAAGGTACCTTCGGTTTTCTTTCTAAAAACTGCCCCAACTGCGCTGGGCAGGAGGAAATGAAAAAACAATGGGCATGGGGGAAGTTAAAACTTAGGTCCTGTGCCTTGTGGTTATCAGGCCATAGGTTTTATTTCTTGATTTGCAAAGTGTGTGTGTGTGGGGGGGGGACGGACCAGGAAGTGAAAGCAGAGAAGTATTGTACTCACGTTGTAAAGTCATGGTTTTCTTATGCTTAGAATACCATTAGCCACAGTTTATATGTCCTGATGGTTGGCTTCAAAAATCATGTGCCCCAAACAAACCACACAGCTTATTGCTATAGTGTGTACATTGCAACACTCGGACGCCACAAGCTTGGCTGAGAATGTAAGGTGTCAGGAAGGAATGAATGATAATCAAGCCAAAATTCTGATACACGAATTCCATGAGGATTGCATGGTATTTAGGAATACTTGTACAGCTGATTGCACAATTTTGTCACATCTGGGCAATCATGATTGGATCTAAAAAAAGCCATATTTTCTCTTCTTCCTCCAGCCCACGTGGAACAACTTTCCCTGAGATGGGAGGAGGGGCGGGGGAAATTATTTGTAGAAGTTAATTTGGCATGAATTCTGTCGTCCTGCTAGTATGTCTCTTAGGCTGTCATTAAAATACTAAGGCTCAACTCCTTCATACAATTTCAAGATGTAATTTAAAAAGTTATTGCACAATGATGACAATATATCCAGTGCCATCTTGAGATGACGGTAATGCAAACCCTGCTTTGCTTCACTGTCAGACTAAAAGACCTTTAATCTCACTGTTATGAAACAAAAACAGCCTGTATTTTACACCAGTGGTAGCAAATGACCATTTATTTAAGAAAAAAAGGTTACTAAGCCATTATTTCCCAAAGTCAATTGTTAACGGGTGCAAAAGGCAAAATACTGTTACAGATTAGAAAAAACAACTCACAAGTGTCTATATATATATATATATATATATTTCAAATATTGAACTTTTAAACAGGATAAAGAAAACAAGGAAGAAAAGGGACTGAGGGACATTATACACCTGAAAAACCTTGATCCACTACTGGCGTCTCTTCTATTGCTGAAAAGGAAANCTCCCTCCCTCCCTCCTCCCTCCCTCCTTCCTTCCTTCCTTCTCCATCACTGGAGGTTTTTAAGAAGAGACCAGGCTGCCATCTGTCAGGAATGGTGTAGGGTCTCCTGCTTGAGTGTGTGTGTGTATGTGTGTGTGTGTGTTTGTGTGTGTGTGTGTGTCTGTGTGTGTGTGTACTAGATGGCCTACAAGGTGCCTTCCAACTCTGTTAATCTGTATCTTAATTAACAAAGGTGGGAACGATCAGGATAGCTCAATCCAAAACGTGGCTTCTTGAACGACCCTCCCCCCGCTTATAAACGGAAACCTAACAGCTTGGGCTGCATCTCGGCAAGCTCAGTCCGGGTCAGATATATGTGTCAGATGCATTCACACGGTTTTACGGATTTGAATGCAATTTCCCCGAGTTTCACGCCGCTTGTAACTTCTTTTCCTTCTCCCCACACCCCCCCCCGCGACTTTCACTTAAGCCCGCGGCGCTGCAAAAGCAAAGGGAAGCTTTGCATGGAGCCCCCCCCGTTTTTCAAAAGTTCCCAATGAAAGGGTGGGGGTCCCCCCAAACCCTCCCGGCCTTACCTCCTCCAAACTGCAGATGAGCTGAGCCGGCGTGAGCACCACTTCATCGCTCCCCGCATCCGAGTCCAGCTCGGCCATTCCCGCGGCCGGACCCGGGTTTCCCCACCTTTTCCCGCCAGCGGTCAGTGACGTCAAACCCTCCAGCGCGGGAAAAGAGGAGGGATTCCCCCTCCTCGGGGAAGTCCTCTTCGCCCCGCCCCTATTCTTAAAGGGACCATCGGCCGAGAAAACAAAAACGCCTTCGTCCACGTTCCCATCATAGAATAGAATTCTTTATTGGCCAAGTGTGATTGGACACACAAGGAATTCCATCCCTGGAGGTTTTGAAGAAGAGGCTGGACGGCCTCTTGTCTGAGATGGTATATAGGTGCTCCTGCTTGAGGAGGGGGCTGGACTAAAAGACCTCCAAGGTCCCTTCCAGTTCCTATTCTAGTGTAATATAATGAAGAACGGTTGCAGGAACTTGGCCTGGCTAATCTAGTGAAGAGAAGGTCCAGGGAGACAGGATAGCATCTTCCAATATTTGAGGGGCTGCCACAGAGAGGAGGGTGTCAAGTTATTTTCCAAAGTACTGCATTCAGTTTTGGTCACCATACTGTTAAAAATATGTGGAGACTCTAGAAAGAGTGCAGAGAAGAGGAACCAGGATGATTATGGGACTGGGGGCTAAAACATATGAAGAACGGTTGCAGGAACT